CTTGCCTTGCCCTGACAAACCCCGACCAATTAAAAAAAAAAACATCCTTTAACAGATTAATTTTTAAAGTTTTCTTTTTACTACATTCTAAATTCTTAATACTCAACTATGGTAGGATGTCTTGCAAGTTCCATGATGCAAAAAGCCAGTTGATTAGCTGTTGTCTCTTGTCCTAAAATGTTATAAATGCCGAAATTAATCATGACATTGATTTCAAATAGAGCAAAATTCTGTCTAAGCTAAAGAAAAGACCTGGAAATTGTAAGAAAACATAGTTTATGTCCAAATGGAAAAACAGTTAACATTATAGTGTATACATTATTGTGAAAAACTGTCATCACTCTTGAAAGACATTAAAATCACCCACAAGGTAGCGAGCTGCACATGTCCAGAATTCACAGTAAAACTGATGGATAGCCTACACATTACTGAACTTTTGGGTGAAATGTTCCTTTTACTTTGTTAGTATGACTTTCTGCTACAAAGGAAGTAGAGTAACATGTTTATTTTGAAGCATTTCACACATCACCACAGACATAACAGAGACTTGCCAGCAATGAAGAATGTCACAAAGTTGTCCAACATGAACTCCTCATCTTCTTTAGTCATGCTGTCCTCTGGAATGAGAAGGAAATGGTATCAACATATAAACTAGTATATGGAAGATTGCTAGTCATCAAGTATATATGTATGAACACTATCTCTCTGGAGTGTACTGTTTGGAAACAGTTAGTAGGACAAACTTGCAATTGTGCTCTGAAAATCTATTATTATGTTGAGTTAATATTGAAATAATTGTGCTTTATATTTTTTGTTATATGCTGTGGGTGACTGGTTCAGTGTGTAGAGCGGTCGTCTGCCCACTGGAAGGTTGGAGTTTCAAATCACGGTTCCTAAATTCCTTGTGTGTGTAACGTGCTTGGCCAAATAAAGGTGATTATCCTTATTACCTTAACTTTTTGTTCAATTATTCTCAACATCGTGTACTTCTACGCTTTGTTTTATCCATAGCAGAAACTACTGTTTGCTGGACTTTAGGGACGGTAACCTTGGCCAGCAGATTTGATAATTTGTGTGAGGATGTCCTTAGGAATGTCATCGCCATTTTCCATGGCAGTCTTTCTTTCATGGATCCACTGAGCTCCAGTTGTGCGCAGCAGGCGGCACGCTTCCCTCACTTCTTTAATGAATGGTCTGTTCTTTGGATTGAACTGGGAATGAAAGTTTTTAAGATGTTAGACAGTTTACAGAATGTTCACGGAATTAACTCCATATACTGTTGCTGTCAAGTCATACCTGAAAAAAGCTGTCTCGGATATTGTACACCATCCCTTTTAGACATGTCTCGATGGCTTTAGGGAAAGGTGTACTAGTCTTCAGCAGGTCTAAGTCCACACCAAAAGCAACCTGAGAATTATCGAGTAAGCATCATACATTCATATGTACCAAGATAGTTTCAACCTGATTAAATGAACTTTTGTGTTAAGTCTCTGCTCTCTCTATATTCAGTAAAAACCAACTGCAGAGGAAACTGGAAAACAGTGGCACAGTACCTTAGCAATGACATCAAGGGTAACACAGCTGAATAGGTGGAGAAAGCTGGTCTCCGTTTTGCTGTCAGCAATATCGGCAAGTTTACTCATCAGATTCTCTGCCCTCTCATTGAAGGTGCCCATTAGACCTCTCAAATACCTGGAAATAATGATAGTTTGAAACAGTGGAGTAGCATGGTGTGGACATACCTGCACAGCTTCACAGGAAATCTGTAAATAAGAAACTGAACAGGACTGACAATAACTGTAAACTTTATGAATAAAAAGAGGCTGAGCAACTTCACTTTGCCTCTTTTTTAATAACTTTATTTTAAAGATATTTTCAGTTTTATACATCAAAAACAAACACAAAGAATAATTGGGACATTCTGATACAGACATATAGTTGTTGCAGTTCAGTGTTGTCCATTTTTGGCCGCTGACGTGAAGACTGTCCATTTCTCCCATTTATCTTGACATCGTTCCACCTGAGTCTTTAATTTATACGTCAAAAACTCCATTTAAAAAATTATGTGTACAGTTTGAAGCCATTGTTCTCTTGTTGGTATGTTAGGCCTACACCATTGTTTGGTGATGGCCTTCTTGCAGACCGCCAACAGTATTTTCAACAGGTATCCATCTTCTTTGGATACAATATTTCCCGTGAGGTGTCCTAGATACATAACTACACATGTTTTGGGGATGCTGTAACCTAGTATCTTGACAACAACAGTGTGCACATCATCCCAGAAAGGTACAATTTTAGGACATAACCAGAATACGTGTGAATGATTTACATTTACATCTCCACATTCTCTCCAACATGGCTGAACTCTGGACCCACTTTGCCTCTTTTTGAAAATTAAATACTCACAAGCTGCTGAAGGCAGGGTTCATGATCCGGCGGTGTTTATACCACTGCTCGTGGTTGTATGCCGCTAACAAGCCATTACCTAGGAACCTTAGAGAGAGACATGGAACACAATCCTTTCAAACTGTCAAGTAAGGTCTAACATAAGTGAACCAGTAAAGCCTTTGCCTGGCGCTCAAAAGTTGACTTGACAGTACTAAAATGACAAAATTACTTGAGTTGACACCACAGTTTAAGGCAGGTTTTACTCTGTATTGTTAGTTTAAGAATTCAACATATTGATACTATCACAAATTACCAGTTTGATGACGTGGTCCTGCACTTGTACCAGTAGGTAATCCTACAATCTGATAAATTACCTTTCACCAAACAAGCTGAAGAGTCTTTTGCTGATTAATTTCTGTTTGGTGTATTTTGGGGACATCATGATTTCCTGAAACCAGAAGCATTAGAGGGAACAGGTTTAAGCACAATTATTATAAGGCAATGTTTACAGTAAATTTGTTTTACCTTAAAAAGGACAGTAGTTGGCACTGTAGGGCCATTTTTATTTTGCAAAGAACTCTATACCAAAGGAGGTCGATCTTTTTTATCTATCTAATCTTTCACATTGTTACTTCTGCAATAGTTATGCAATACTTATGGTTAGACAAATAATACCATGATATGTGGTGTTTAGGTACCTTGGTTGCCTCTGGGCAGCTCACAATGACAGAAGCGTAATGTAGAAAATTTATTCTGAAGACAGGCCCATATTTTTCGGCCCTGTAAATGACAATTACATATTTGTAACTTTGAAACTATTCTTACACATGCAAAAGACAAAAACAAACTATTTCACATGAAAAGAACAGTCACGGATTTAACAACACAAACTGCAGCATCAAATATAAAACCATACACATTAGTACATTATACACATGAAGCCTAACCAAACAATTATCATATAGGGTGTTGGCTAGTTTATGCGTTACTGCAGTGAAGCCCAGGGGCTACGCCATAAGTTCACAGTATTTGCCATGGACTTTGCTCTAAGTTGACATTTTTCCATTACACCTGTAAGTGTTCAACGAAGATAATGACATTATAGTATAGTTATGTCTAAACTTCGCTTGTGCTTACCATTCCAGATATTTGTCATGTACAACTTCGCCATTTTTCATCATTCTCAAAATTGTCGGTCTATGTCCAAAGAAAAAACTGACAACAAAAACATAAAGTGTCAGGTAAGTTAATGTCAACACATTTGTTTTACATACTGTTAGCTTACTAAGGCTGGTAAAAGAAACGTTAGCATGCACTAGCGTTAAGATTAGTTAAACAACAAGCCGTTTAACGTACCTGTCTCTCGGTGGTCCAGGTATGTGGTCATATTTCATATGAATGTGTTTAAGATACAAGCAGTAACCAAGAAACGCAATGAAATTCAGAAAGAACAGAAATATAAACGCATGTGAAGTCCAGCTCAAAAGTAGTTGGAAAACTGCCATTTTGGTAAATAAAGTTCTGTTGAGTGTAAAGTTATGGTGCATGAAAGGTAGTCCACAAGTGGACAGCAGCATACTGCCTCCTTTTGTACACTGCTCACTTTTGGCTCCCCCGCCAATTCCCAAACCTACTTGACAGGTCATCTCCAGATCAGGATGACCCAATGGGTTAAACAAACAGGCTATCAACCCAAAATGTTCTTACTTCAGCACACACAAACTATTTACACAGTGAGCTGACATAGTACAGAGGGCTTGCAGAAATGAGTTATTAATTGACCACTGCATATAGTAACTACATGTAATCTACACACTCTCACTGTATTCTATTACATATTAACTGTAGCTTGTTTGTTTTAACCACTACAGTCCCTCCTCCCATAGTCTAAAGACAACGGCACTCTGCAAGAAAACAAACAACGAGTGCAATAAACCCAAAGAGAAAAATCAAAACATGAACATGTTCACATGAGCCTTTAACACTTCTAAACTCTAACAGCCTTAGTTAAACATTAACCTCTTCTTACATCTAAAGTCAACCAACATCGTCGTCAGGGGGAGCATCAGCTTCACTCGAACTCCCTCCTCATCCAAGGAATCCCTTGGATCACATCTTCCTCTTTTCGAACCACGATCAGCTCCAAGCCGTCCATCTTGGGGATCTATCATATTACGTACAAGGGGGTCTCACTCCCTCCTGATCACCTTCACGTTCACGAAATCTCCTGCTCTCACTTTGGACTCTCCATCCCCCTGGACCTCTCTGACCTGCGAAGAGACAACACAAACAACACAAGCCACACAGGAGGAAATACTCCTGCACATATTAGTCACCTGTCTAATATAAACTCTCATTCCCCATAATAGGATGTCAAATCTGATGTTAATATTACCATTAATGTTCTATAGACTACACTTAAACCTACACCTGTCTCTCAGGCCACAAGCATGGTTCTTTTAAGACACACATACACCAAAAATAGCAGCATCAAGCAACTGAATCAAATGACAAATGACTTTACTCTACCGGGAAGTGTACTATTCATCGTCATTGTGCAGGCAAATCTGTGACTTCTGTGAGAGGAGATTTTAACATCCATACATACAACCCTGGGAGATTCAACACACGCTGAGCAGAAAAATGCACAAAAACTAAAAGAACTACCATTCATCCATTTTCAATAAGAAGAAAAGTGTTATAAGCATAAATGCTAACTGGGCTAGCGAGAAGACACATTTAAATTATTTCAGGTATATTGTCT